CTGGCATACCTGGGTAGCCTTCCCAAATAAGATTCTTGTAAGAAACCCTACAATATCATATATTTATAATGCAGGGGTGGGCAACTCCAGGCCTCGAGGGCCGGTGTCCTGCAGGTTTTAGATGTGTTCTTGATCCAACACAGTTGATTCAAATTGCTAAATGTTCTCCTCAACATGTCCTGAAGTTCTCCAGAGGCCTGGTAATGACCGAATCATGTGATTCAGGTGTGTTGACCCAGGGTGAGATCTAAAACCTCCAGGACACCGGCCCTCGAGGCCTCGAGTTGCCTACCCCTGATGTATTGTAAAATCTGTAGGCAAACAGACTGCAGAGCACTGTGACAGTCTGTTCGTTTGTCTAAAGCTGGTCCTCCTTTGTATACAAGAACTGTGGGCCAAGAGGGAGGGAACACAGAGGACAAATAAACAACATAACCTCTGCAGCTGGCTCGGTCCAGAGGGATCGCGCTGATCATGTGTAGATTTACACAACATATCTGACAACGAGGCACGCAAGTTTACTGTGAGCAATGTTAACTATTTCAGAGGAACCGCCACACTGACATGATTATTTACTGCATCCAAATTATGCAAACAGGACCACCATGTATGGCACAGTGACAACATGGAGGGAACAGCATGGAGAGCTGAGCATGCAGGCCTTGACAGCAAACTGGCAACACACAGGAGTGCAGTGCAGCACAGCAGCAAACGTTGCGATTTTAGGAGCTGTTCACTACAATGGAGCGTCACAAAAAACACTGCAGCTGCATGCAAACATGGAAACATCAGCATCGGCGAGCCACATCCGTGATGTGTGCTGCAGTTAATATTCATTGATATGCTGAATATGACGATCCAGTTATATACTCTGTTGCACCAAGTCGGTGACTGGATAGAATATTTCCACTTTAAACTTCATGAAGCGGGCTTTGCAAATCTTTCTCTAAAGTTTCCATCTCTCTGTGGTCAGACAGACTATTCCCAAGAAACACGCCAAAGCCCTCTCTCCGCTCACATCTTATACTCCAAAATGTTTCCATTCAGGTCATTACACTCCTGACGAGTAAAAATAGCATCAAGATGAATTCATTCTTCGCCTTCTCTCCCTCAAGTCCTGTTCTAACAAATGGAAAAGCAATCCAAACATTAAACACAAACCCGACACACAACTTTTTCAAAACCACCACTTTGAGTGCATCTCAGTTATCAGCCTACCTGCTAAGGTCTCACTGAGAGGTCAGATTCTCACTCTCTGCTTTGATGTGACCAGGGAAACACTTTGGAAATGGTACTGATGCTAGGCTCGAACTTAGCCACAGGTTATCTTGAGAGATGATCTCCCAATTTATGACACATTAAACCTACTACTTAAGAGGCTTCCCAAGTCATCACACACACTTGTATAAAGTTTATACTCTTATGAGATGCACAGCAGCTTAACTTTATGGTAAACTCTATAGTTTAAATGCCAGGTGTAAGACTTTGGGAAATACCTTGATGTTTGTTTGAAGAGATGGACAAGTATGTGGCACGGATGCCGACAGCCTCCACAGATGGACAGACAAAAAACACCCAGTGAAGAAAAAGCTCTGTGCTTTCAGCTTGGAAGCAACAAGTCAGACAAAAATGTTTGGACAGCAGTCTGATAGGGTGAGAGGTCAAGCCTGGAAAAACACACTAATCGTCCATGTGAGGCAGTCTTCATCGTGTTCCAGCACTAAACTACTAATCCAACTGTGAACAAGAGTTCAAGGAGCACGGCTCGTCTACCTTGTCTTCTTACCAGTAATTACAATACTCTACTAACACCAGTCTACCAGCAGCAGACAGCTTGGACCATCAATCAATCACAGAATGGAATTTCACACTAATGGAAACCACAGCCTCTCTAAACTCTGAGTACCGGACGCCACAGGCACCAAGTGCAAGTCTTCCCAGTGGTCCTAATGCCTTACAATAACTCAAATTAGTTCCATGACGACTTGATGCTAGCATCTCTTATTAGCAAAAAGAAAATCTGACACACTGAGAAAACAGGTATCCAAGTAACAGGGAGACCTTGAAATAAAAATTAATTCCTGTCGCCAGACATGCAGTTTAAAACTCAAAGAGTGGGGCTGATAGCACGTCAGCTGATAGCACGTCAGCTGATAGCACGTCAGCTGATAGCACGTCAGCTGATAGCACGTCAGCTGATAGCACTGCCTGAGAAAAGGGGTTCAATAAAACATATCCTGCTCCAAAAATAACTACTGAGGGTTACACGTCTGGCAAGGATACGACTATGACAGCAAGTGCTTAAGCAGCAGCACGTTTATCTGATGTCAGCCATGAACTGTTGGTTTGGTGGTTCTGTTCCTGTCCCTCCTCTTACCCACAGGTCAGGCTGTTTACAGGCAGTGAAAGCAGACATGTACAGACATAAAAAAGGGTGTCTCTGGACACAAGCTTAAAGTGGTACTGGAACAGTACACAGCAGCAGTAGTTCATGCAGTAAAGTAGAAGCAGCTTTAATGGTAATAAAAAATAGTTACATAATACACATAAAGTACTCCAAAGTGCAATGTCTGTTTCTACTGCATTAGAGTGACATGTGAAAGCAGAATATTCAAAATTGATATGGATCAAAAACATCGCCCGACTTTGAATCCCAAGCAAGTGTCAAGCTTAACCATACAACTATATCCTATACCCTTTTAATACTTCAACTACACATCTCGTTGTAGATACATATATAGATAGATAGATAGTAGGGGTGCAACGATACTTTGGTGTCACGGTTCGATATTAAAAAAATGTTCATGCCTTTTTAATTTGTCATTTATTAAAATTATAAATATATATTTTAACTCAAAAGTACAGTTTTTAAATTGAATGTTGCTGAAACAACAAAGTAATAAAAAAAAAAAATCTATCTGATCGAGAAATCACTCATCTTTGGAAAAGAGAGTTTATCCGTGGGTGGGGCTGGACGGCGTCAACGCATTAACGAGCTAACTGTGCTAACACACTAGCTCCCACCCATGTAATTGAGCATTGCGTGGCACATCCAACATACTGTTTTACTTTAGTCCATGACTCGCTTACCTTCAGGGTCATACGTCACATGAAAACCAAAATAGTTCCAAACGCCAGATCTGAATGAGGGTGGGGGAGGTTCAATTTGCAATGTTGCAACGAGCCTAAGTTCTGTCTTGCTAGCTTGCCCTGCGCTCTTCCTTCTGACTATGCTGTCTGTGTTGAGCGCTCAGTGGATCTGCGCTCGACTACTCCGCCTAGGCTGCACTGTCGAGCGCAGATCCACTGAGCGCTCAACACAGACAGCATCGTCAGAAGGAAAGTTGATAAAATAAATTAAAAATTTTGTATTGTTCGATACATATGCGTACCGAACCGAAAGCACTGTATCGAACGGTTCAATATCGATACGAGTATCGTTGCACCCCTAATAGATAGATAGATGCAATTTTTGGATTTTACTTTCATATGTAAATTATTCATTTGAAACTGACCAAAGAAATGAGTTTTGCATGCTGCAAACTGTCCTCGGTAAAGGCAGATTGCCATTTCTTGTCTAGACCAGGGGCGGGGAAGTCCAGGCCTTAAGGGCCGGTGTCCTGCAGGGTTTAGATCTCACCCTGGGTCAGCACACCTGAATCCAATGATTAATTTATCACCAGGCCTCTGGAGAACCTTAACACATTTAAATCAGCTGTGTTGGATCAAGGACACATCTAAAACCTGCAGGACACCGGCCCTCGAGGCCTGGAGTTCCCCCACCCCAGGTGTAGACCATACACTCAAGCTAAGGTAACTCTGATGACATCATTATGTCTTTATTGCAGTTCATTTTTAAAACTTGACTAAGATCACAGAATCAGTGAAAATATAAAATATTTGCTATTCCATAATCTCTTGTGAGCACAGTACAGAGTGCTGTAGTAACATACACTTCATCTTGTATCTTCGTATTGTCTTTGGACACGATACTGGGTTTGTGTCCACATTTACATTGTTAATACTGAGGCTCATCGTGTTTGATCACACTTTCTAGACACTGTTCCTACCATGAAAATCATTTAGTGGACAGCAAAGGCAGGGTTTTAGAGTTTAAAGAAGGAAAAAGACAAACTCAAAATAAGTCAGGTGAAGCATTTGTCGGGGAATGTAATCATTTTTAGGGAATTTAGTTTCTAAACATCAGAACAATGACACAGATGTGACTGGATGCTAAATATGATTCTACAGGGTGGGCCATTTATATGGATACACCGTGATAAAATGGGAATGGTTGCTGATACTAAAGTCCTGTTTGTGGCACATTAGTATATGTGAGGGGGCAAACTCCTCAAGATGGGTGGTGACCATGGTGGCCATTTAGAAGTTACGTTGAAACCAAGCACACCATTGTTTTTCTTGTGACATTACCAATAAGTGTGATGTGTCACATGGCCCTCTTCCTATTGACAAAACAAAAGTTGCCGACTTCTAAATGGCCACCATGGTCACCACCCATCTTGAGGAGTTTGCCCCCTCACATATACTAATGTGCCACAAACAGGACTTTAGTATCACCAACCATTCCCATTTTATCACGGTGTATCCATATAAATGGCCCACCCTGTATAACCAGAAGCTAGTTGGACCTTTTTAGGTCAGCTTATCTTAGCATAAAGATTTGATAGCACTACTGTTGCTCAAAGGCAATTGTTATTCATCCAGTCACTGAAGCTCAACAGTAAACACATCATTTCTCATCCATCTTCTTATCCAGTGTGTGAATGTGAGAGTGAATGAATAGTGGAGTTGTAAAGCACTTTGGGTGCCTAGAAAAGCGCTATATAAATCCAATCATTATTACTATTATTAGTATTATTATTATTATTATCCACTAAAAGTACTCTGACATTTCTCTACAAAACTTAGAAATAACATTTTAAGATGCTAATGGAAGTCCAACTGAATATAAATCATGAACACGTCTGCTTAGTACTCACCCTTCTAGTGTTGTCCAGCACTTTGGGGTCAGGTTGGCCATAGTTTGGGGGATTGGCATGTGGGTCATAGCCTAGCCTGGACAGCATAGGGGCGATGACGGCCATGTCCCTCACCACATCAGCTGGGATCTTTCCCACCCACTTGGACAAGGCCTCCACATTAACTGGCTTGATGACCTGGTCTGTGGACCTCTCCACCCTAACAGGACACAAAGAAGTGTTATTTCAAGTACGCACGTTGTTGGAACCTCGTTTTGCAACAAAGTGACTGTTAGCACACATTTAACCACGCTGACCACAGGTCACAGCATTATTTACACAGGTTGCCATCATGGCTCGTCCTGTTTCACAACAGACCAGTCCATCACTCGCTTCTGTTCAGTGGAAGCATCTAATTGGCTGTAACCGGATTATAAAACGCTATTAAAGCTGAACTGCTGGCCTCTGTCACCAGCAGGTCCCCGTTAAACACAATGAATGAATAACTTTTTACACCATTACTTCATCGCTCAGCCGACATCCATCTCATTTGATCTACATCACTGATGTGCCTGTTTTCAGCAGTGGAAACGACACATGGATCAACCCTAATGGCTTAATGTCTGCTCCACACCAACATCTCCGTTTCACTTTGTTTAGAAAACTTCTGTAGCAGACAGAAAACCTCAAGAGTAAAAAAGCAGCAATAAACACATAATATAACTTATTTCTATGGAATCACAAAAAAAAGGCTGTGACCTTTTTTAGAGCCTCAATACTTTGACTTTATGCTGAATTATCTGCAGAATTTAAGTGCTTCGTAGCGGCAAAGCTCTTCTAAGTAACATGAACCCATACAGGCAGATTTTTCTGATTTTAGGTTTTGTTGATGCTGAACATTAAACTGCTGTTTAGGTTGAAGATGAATTGCTCCACTCAGCCTTTTCTTCCATCCACCATTATCTTGGTAAATTATTCATCGTCTGAAATTAAATATTCAACCAGTGAGGGGATTGGACTTGATGGACTGCAGCTTTTATTTTCTGCAAGGAGCAAAGTGTACTAGAACTGATGAGCAGTGAGATGAACACTGAGCTCTATGGAGATGTAGATAACTGCTCTCTTAAATCACAAACACAACAAATCAAAGGGCATCCCGATACATGAATAAAATTAGTATAGAGTACTGTACCATTAGCCAGAGACCTGAATCAGTTTGACAGGCATCAGCTGAAAACACATTTAGATATTAGAGTTGTTCAAATTAATAAATCTCAGTGCTATCAGATTGTAAAAAAGCAGTATTCTGACTTTTTTCCTTCTGTATAAGGACAGATAGGATATTTCAAAGTAGTTACTGAAAAAAACTTTCATTAAAATATACAGGTTGCATGTATAACATACAGTTAGCTTTTATTTCTTTAATGGATGAATAGTCTTTAAGTGATGAAGAATGGGACCACACATTAACAGATGACACGTACAGTCCCGATCAGAGGTTTATACAAACTCAGGAGCATGAAAGTCATGGTAATATGAGCCGCTTTTAATCGTTTCTATGAAATGCTCTTTTTCCAGGGTGGAAGAACTGGGTGAACGAGTTCGAATTTATTTTGGTTTACAGTACACATACAGACCGTCTAAGATAGCCTGAATCTATCTGTCACAACTCTTTGGGGCAAAGGGAGGAAGCTGCTGTCTGTCCAATCAACCCTACAAATACATCAATATACACACACAGACACGACTTAAATACTTTACTTGGTGCTGAGTTCAACAATGCCTTAAATTCACATTTCGACACTTTTAAAATGTCACTACTTTGGGTCGTCTTTCAGATCTTGGCAAACTGTCACCCTTAGATAAGAGGCAATAGATCAGGATGAACAACCCACGAACCCTCAAGACTCAAGCCTGCCATGAACTGAAAATTACTGGAAACGCTACTGTCACTCGCCAGCCACAGCTTTGCATTGCCATGGTGTGGATGTTACCCGAGAAAGAAGGCCCTGCTCCAAAGGTCAACTAACATTTTCAGCTGGACAGGCCAAATACATAGTCTCATCTGGCTATAAAACTTTTCTATACAAAGGTTGATCTGTCACAGTTACAAGAGATCATTGGGGGAGTCAAGGTGAGGATTTCAAATCTAAGGACTGTCAAGCATGGTGGTGGTAGCATCATGCTGTGGAGCCGTTTTGCTAACCGTGGTACTGGTACATTACACAAAAGGATGGAGTAATGAAGGAGAGGGGCTAGCTCCAAATTCTATAACAGCTAGATGGTTGAAACTTCTTGGATATTTATGGAGTTAAAGAAAGAAGTTAGTCCGTGGAGTCGCGGATAAAGCAAAGAGAGAGGTACATCCGCATCTAAAGGACTCTTTGGATGATCCCAATGTTCACATTTTGGACAGAGAAGACAGATGGTTGAGAGGTGAAACATCTTCAAGAAACTTAAAGAAATCTAGACTCTTTTCTTTCCAAGCTCCTTAGTTTATGAGGGGCTTATGAAGGCAGCAAATGAGAAAGGAGGACAGAGAGGTTCATGACTCATGAAGTGCAAAAGATCGGTAAGGAGGAAGTGAGGGTAGCTACAAAGAAGATGAAGCACACTGGGTCTAGATGAGGTATTGAGATTTTTAGGAGAGGGGTCAGTCGACTTTTTAACCAGACTGATTAAAATGATTGTGGAGTGAGTGGATGCCTGAGGGATGAAGAAGTGTACTGGTGCCAGATGTCAAGAACAAGGCTGATGGTCAGATCTGCTGAGGTATAAAGCTAAAGGGCATAACTATAACTGATTGCGTAACAGATTAGTTGATCAGCTAAACTCATACCGTTTAGGTTTCTGTCTCTATGAATTTGCTTACTATTTCTCCCCGTTGCCTGTAGAATCTTGGAACTCAGCAGATGTAACTAATTTTAAAAAGAACAAAAAAAGAAAGAAGGAGATTTTACACAAGTTTACGTGAAACTAAACTTGTCCATTGTGTTTACATTGTAAAGATATCATCTTTGTAGAGCTCAGGCTGGGTTTTCACCGATAAAACTGCCAAAAGTGTATTCAGTAGAACTTTTCAGCCAACCGACCTAAAGAAAACAAAATGCATTTTTAAAAAGGCCTAAAACTGTGAAACCAGTGAAAGCAGCCTCCTTATTGATTAGTTGAACATGTTTTGTAACAGGGTCAGCAATCCATTTATTCTAAAAGGAACACACCGACATCAGTCTCTCCTGCCTCAGCTAGATTACACTCAGATGACCAAATATAAAACAGAACTTCAGCTTTGACCACACTTCATCACTTTTTCATGCAACAAAAATTTAAAAATGGCTTCTTTTATGAGATTATTGTAACTGGTTTGATGCCCAGTCAAGCACAGCGATACCTAAAGAGCAGGCAGAAGGAGAACGCTCACACCACAATGTCTATTTACCATCCAGGGTCCAGCCCCTCAATCCTTATGTTTCCTGTCAGACTCTATACTTCAATACAGCAATTCACTTTCCTCTAATCCATTTACTTTGCAATTGAATCTTTACACTGTACAGGCATAGCCTCCTGCATGATTAATAGATTGAGCTGGTTTTGTCATCTCAGGAGGACGGTGGAGATGGTTTCTACGGTACGGGCTAGGATCCAAACATCCACTCTGCAACAAATGGGTAGGGAATCACTTTAGGTAACTCCATCAAGACCCAAGGGGCGGCTAAGTGTTGATGTGGAACATAAACTGATAAAGAGGGAAGGCTGCTGAGCTTCACCATCAGGTTAGATGGAGCTAACCTTATTGACAAGAGACCCAAAGGTCTCTATAGTACACATACCAATACAAGCGCCAAGTATATACAGGAGTACATCTGTGTCTCACGGTTCTGAAGTCATGCTGAAGTTCTGCAAACCTCAAACTTACATAGACCAGCCATACATTAATACTCAAGCATTATGAAAACACATATGGTGCAGTTTGCCATATAAATCCCATAAACTGAAGGAAAGTATATGGTAAAAGAAAACAGCATGGTCGTATGGTCACTTCACTATATGGCTATAAAGTGTATATATATGCGTATAAAAATCCCCCCCCCCCAAAATCCTTCTGAGAAAGCAGTCCATTGGCTTTTACTTCTGAAGGTTAAGGTGCTGTTAGCTAGCCCAACTTCTTCTTTTCTGTGTTTCCCTGCTGTAAGGATGACCATGATGCACTCTGACTTTAGTTCTTGCTCTAAGCCAGCGGTCCCCAACCTTTCTTGCGCCACGGACCGGTACCGGTCCGAGGCCCGGGGATTGGGGACCGCTGCTCTAAGCTGAAAGCTAAACATTGTAATGAAGATATTTTTTAATCCCCATTACATAACCCCAGTGAAAACTATTACTAGCAACAGACAATAATGTAATTTAATGCAGCGAGGTTTTTTCATGTCCAGTATTTTATGCAGTTAATAACTAAGCTTTCACTTAGATGCTTGTTTTATTTTGGAAAATGTTCCTTATCACAATTTACAATTAATTAGCACGTTTTATGCAACTTGAGAATTTACTTTCCCCCAAAAGGAGCACATAAGTAGGACACTGGCACAATAAATGAGGCAGACAGTTCAGTTTTAAATATCCCGTCTGTATAACTGAAGATTGACAACAATTCAATCATTTGCACTCTTACTAATGAACAAATGATGCATGCGCATTTCTCTTCTCAGCTTTAAATGAGATGTGACAAAACCCTTTTCTGGCCATCACATGACCACTCCCCTTCATCCTGTAATGCTCTTAATGGCCTTCAGCTTGTCAATTATTCAGTGCTGGGCCCTCTTTACCCAAGGTGGTGTTCTGTATCACCAAAAGCCAATAAGAGAATCGGATAGAGACATCTCGATCACAAATAGGTTGGAGAGTTGGGGAGGATGGATCAGACAGTTCAGTGCTCTGGGATAAGTAATGGAGCGGGTCTCTTAGCTAGGCAGGGCCTCCACTAAATTAACGCTAGGTAATTGATGTTAATGCTAAGGCAAGGTCCCAGTCTGGGGCCTGGCTGCCCACTGATTGAGATTTTTGTGTAGATAGAGACCAAATGCTGTAGGGTGGTGGAGGATGGGATTGTTGGTGGTTGGAGTGGGAAAGAGCCTTTAGCTGCCAGGTGTCATGGGGGTTGACTTTAATGCACTCTGGGCAAAGTACTTGATAGGAGGGCCAAAATGTTTGTGATGGTAAAAGGCA